GGAGACATTTCCGATATATAAGTATATTCTAGATCCGCATCAACAGACAAGTTGATAACCATTTCCATCTGTTCGTCTGTCTGTTGCGAACTAGTCTCTCAGTTTGAAATCTATCGTTTTTAAACTTTCCGTCTTCCCCTGTTGAGTACGCTGTAAACTGAGCTGGTGCTTTTGATGATTTGATGGAGTAGTACAACCCGATGCTGCAAGGGATAAGGAGCCAGTCTATTCCGGTAGAACAAAACAGTCCCCCTAATGTGACTGGCGAAGGTAAAGAGTTTATCAAAGGGTTACGCCCAGGTATCTTGTCTAGTTGTCCTGCTTTAGGGCCTCAGAGGCTCTTCCTGGTTTATAAATGAAACGGAAACTAAACTTAAATTTTAGTTTGAATTTGCCACTCCAATGAAAAGATTGCATTTCGTAAATATTTACCTTAAGGCATACAAAAGCTTATTTCTATTTATTTCTGATAGTATAAACAAATGATAACAGCGCCCCAACAGCGCCCTAACAGCGCCCCAACAGCGCCCTAACAGCGCCCCAACAGCGCCCCAACAGCGCCCCAATTGTTTTTCTAATATAAATTAATTTCCTATATATATTTATTGATATTCAGTTTACAAATCCATTAAAATATTGCTAGCAATTTCTCCGGCATGTCAGGAGAGTATCTTAAAGTATGTAGAGAATCTCATCTACTTTTTGTCTTTGCCTGCTACCTTACACTCCCTCTCACTCTGTCGCGCTCTATTTCGTCACCCGCTGGGCATTTTGGTTGCCTTATTAGGTTGGCGCCTTGACGGCAACTGAAAGCTGCCCCGCTCGGACCAACTTTGTGCATGCCAATGATACTTTTATACAACTCATTTTTCTTCTACGTCCTTTTTTTTCAACATTTCGTTGCGTTTTTTTCTTTTCTTTGGGCGCGCCGTTTCGCAGCGTCATCGTTGCAACTTCATTGTCAAAGTTGTGCAAGTCGTGAGAGTCGCGCAAGTGGAAGAGAATTCCACAAAAATTGCAGCCCTGTGCGTTGAGCAAATAGCACCAAAAGAAACTGAACGAAACGTCGCCTCCTCTGCGGTATTTCAGTTAAGCGCTAATTATATGTAAATAGATCTAACGCGACGGATGCTTAAGGTGCGAGATAATTGGACACCGCGTTCGCGACGGAAGATGACAACAGACTCGAGTAACTGTAAAGTAAAGAAAAAGCAAAGAAAAGGGAAATAATGAAATAATTTCCCGAATGGTAAGAAAGGTTTTACTGGAATGCAAACAATTTCAAATAAATCAGAAGGTATTAATACTAATATATTTATTATTATATATATTAAATTATGCCATTTTTTGCAATATTTTGGAATATCCAAAATAATTTTAGGAAAACATATGGCTCAGAGCTATATTTATTATACATTAATAAATATTAGTTATGGAATTTGGTTATTTTCTTAGTTTTTTTTTATTTATTTAATTTTTAGAATGTCCTTATTTACTTTCATGATAAATTCAAATCTAGACTTCCGGGGTCTAACTGGTCTGATTAAGCCCAAGTCCAAGCGTTCTGTGGGTACAACTCAAAGTGGGCGTAACCCGTCAGCATTTTGCTGACAATTTATTATGTAAGCTTTTCACTTTTAATCAAATGTCGCTGCAATTAGCCAAAGCCCATTTGCATAAATTCCTTTGCATTTAAGTCATTAGCACCCGAAAAATTTCATTACACTTTGTCGTGCGTGTGCCCGAGAAGAACCCCATTCAAAATATCAAAAAAAGAGAGGGAGAAAAAAAAGAGAAGAAAATGACAAAATAAATGCAGAAGGTGGCTGGGTAAGCAGCAAGAGAGGGCGTGCGGTTGGATAGATAGACGATGTGGGAGGGTTGGCTGGGGGGGAGCCACATGAGCGACAGCAACCAACACGTACAAAACGCATAAACATTCTTGCTTAAGTGAGTTTGTACATAAATATTCCAACTTGAGCTGCAGCTGTGGGTGTCGAAAGGGGGCGGCGGGGGTGTGCGGCTGTGTGTGTGTGTGTGTGTGTGTGCAAAAATAGTCAAAATGTATTCGAGTGTTTGGGTTAGCTCAGTTTCAGTTTCAGTTTCAGTTTCGGTTTCGGTTTTTGGTTTCGTTTGCATTTGCAGTTTTATTTATATAGCCGCAGGCGTTCCAAAGGCAACTACAAAACCATAAGAGAAAAAATGTTTCACTTATGTGTAACTGTACGCCTTTGGCGTTTTACAGGCTGAGTTTAATCTATTTAAGCTGCTCTTAAATATAATATTCAATTAAAGGCATTCTTTACGCTTTATTTTGTTACTCTTTAAATTTAAGAAATGATCTGAAGTCAAATGCATAAATAACAGATATATATAACAGCATAGTTATCCTCGCTCACTCACTCTTGCGCTCTCCCGCTCCCTCTCTTCCTATCCTATCCTGAAATGCAGCAATTACCAACATAACAGCTTTCATATTATGCAAGCGTCCGCTGGGAACTGCGAAGGCAGCAACAACTGTTCGACAGTTGTGAAGTAACTGTCAAAAAACCAAAAAAAAAAATAAAAGACTTCAGTTGCTAACTTTACTCGCTTTATTCGCACGTCTAGCGGCGGCTTAAGAGAACCGATTAAAGAGCGACAACGCGAAGAGAGCAAAATGTACGCGCAAAACACATCACTGACCTACATTAAGCGGAAATTTATTTGTGCCGGCTGCCAAATTGGTTCCCCAAACGCGTTGCCCTTATGACTATGACGGATATGGTTGGGTTTCTGTTCAGCTGTCGACTTGGCTCTGTTTACGTTGCTGTTGTTGTTGTTGTTGTTGTTGCTTTTCTTGCTTTTCTTGTTGTTGTTGTTGCTGTTGTTGTTGGTCATTGGCTCTAATAATAATGGTTTGTAATTTGCATAAATAATGCTTGATTTTTGCATCGATGGCGTCCGCCCTCTCTGTATGTGTGTGTGTGTGTGTGGTTAGTGTGCGTGTGCTTGTGTGTTGCTGCATTTTAAATGATTGAATGGTTTTGCTTTGTGAAGGCATGTTTAGTTAGCTAGCTGGCTAGATGAACTAAATTATTTCGATAAATGGAGAAATTTAATTTAAGTGTAAATTTGTAAAGCTTTGCAATTAGATCAATGCAAGTTACCTCGTTAAGAACTTGAAAATAAATTGTCAATTATAAAAATATTAAATTAACATAATAATTGACTGTCAGGAAAAACAGAAAGTCGAAATTTATATATAATTTTTATTGGCAACCGAGTTTTCCAAGTCTCTTCTGAATCAGAAAAATGTTTGATAAAACTTATTATTCAAGCAATATAATGAAAAATAAATAAAAGTTATATTTTTGACCGATTTTTCCAAATGTAAGCATTTGATTATTTACAGTCGTCCGATTCTACAGATTCTATAGATATATTGTGATGAGTTTGGTTAATAAATCAGATAAAGCTAATATAATATAATAGTCTGATAATCCTTATAAGGTTACAAGGAAAATATGAATTATTTTACCAAATGCACACACATCTAGCATAGGAAAATAATAAAATATTAATAAGCTCATCATTGTTTTTTTTTTTTTTCATTTCAATAATCAATAATTGATTATTTGTCTAGCTAATTATATGCATAATTTGTTTAAAAACCGAAAACAATGCATTTTCTATTGGTAAACCTCAAATTATGCATTTAGCGGGCGCTGCGTTGTTTACATGACCGCAAAAGCAGCTGGTTAACAGCGGGCTGTTAAGTTTAACATGGCCGCGCTCTGTGCAAGTGTAACTCTTAAGCGTACGCTGCGCTCTCTTGCAATGCCTGCACGCATACACACACACATACACACACGTGTCACACACAAGCACATCGAGCAACTTCGTTGCCGTGTTAGTCGGTAACTTCGTTGTTCACTTCGAAGCGGCACGAACTTCGCGACTCTCTGGTTCGGCAAAGCCGATGGCCATTAAACGAGAAGCAACGAAGCGCAGCGTCTGGCCACTTGGTGTAATCAGTGCGTGCTGCTAAGTAAATTAGTTTAGTATGATTTTAGTGCGCAACGTTGACGGACGCGCCGCGCGACAATTCGCTAAGCAGCATTACAACAACGACAACGACAACGATATCGCGCTCGTGTCTTTTTATCTCGTCTTTGTGTTAGTGAGAGTGTTAAGCGTAACGGTACTTCGATTCAATTTCATATGTGTGGCCAATAAGTGCGGCCCCGGGGCATTTAACGGCACGCGCCTGAAAGCATGCAGCAAAAAATTAAATACTGTACGTAAGAATATTACAAAAATAAACAATAATAATAAGTAAAAGTCGCGTTTGCTTAAAATTTGCATTTTCATCATTTCCCACGAAGTTTCACGCAAATTGACTCCATTTGCCGCGTCGACCCTTTTTGGTAAGAAAAGGATTTCTTTTTGTCTTTCTGCCGCTGTTAACTTAGACTCCGCTTCGCTGTCCTGTTAACTATTCGACTGCAACTTTGAGCTGGGTTTGGGCCTTGATTGCATTCTCACTCGAGCGTGCTTCATTATGACAGATATTATTCAACGTGCAGCCTGTTGCAATAATAATAAAAAAAAAAAAAAAAAAAAAAATTAAATAAAATTTATAAAAAAATAAAACCAAATATAAAAAATAGAGTTAAAGCAAAGACAATAACCATTGCCATGTTTATGGGGCATAGCATGGCATATAGAATAGCTCTTATGCAATTAAATTGCGCTATTTTTGCAGCATTTGTTTTGTTTGAAACATAGCTGATTTTTTTCTTTTTGCGCTCAAACAAATTTTTTTAATTGAACAAAAACCACAACAGAGCGCATTGCGCTTGTTTTTCTATAATTAAGTCATGCAATAATATTTCTACCATCAAATATTAATCGAAAATTTGGAGGTTTTTTTTCTAAAGCAGAGAGCGAGAGCAGAGCGTAGTTCCACTTTTGTGGTCAATCAAAATAGCTTTGAAAATATTAAACAAATGTTCAAATCATAATATACAGTACGCTGTATATAAGCCTAACATATTTGTAAGTCAGTCTCCGGCAATATATTTTCTATATAGTCTCTGCGAAATATGGCTGGCAACGTGCCCTGCTTTTATTGCGCCCTGGTCGGCGATCGCGGCACCGGAAAGACGAGCTTCACTTTGCGCCACCAGACGGGCGAATTTGTCAAGAAATATCGGCCAAGTTTAGTTTATAGCAATTGCCTGCTCGAATTCCATACAACCAAGGGCGATATTCAGTTCAGTGTCTGGAACACGGTGCAACTGAACGATTTGTACTTTCTGAATGTCCAGTGTGCGATTATTATGGCCGAGGCGAATGCCAGTAAATCATTTATCCGTGTGCCCAGCTATCAGAGTGAGCTGCGGGCACACTTTGGCGACATTCCAATTGCGCTCTGCGGCAATAAGATGGATCTGGGCACGCGCGCCTCGAAGTCATATCAGCTGTACTTGCCGAATGCCGATACGTTTGAGTATTTTGATATATCTGTCAAGAAGACGCTCAACTGTGAGCTGCCATTCCTATGGCTGAGCCGTCAACTGCTGGGCAATGCCGAGCTGCAGTTTGTTGCCAAGCCGGCGCGTTTTCCACCAGACCTACCCAAACGTCACTGGGAGAAGATATTTCTGGAGAACGAGTTTATCAACCAGGTGCCACCCATTGCGGATGACGAGTGGTAATCCTTTGCAGGTTCCTCGATTCCTCGATTCACGAACTTCAACATATATGCATACATATCTATTTTTTTAGTTAAGCAATACACTTCCATTCAACATCTATGTGAACTACTTTTGCTCTACTTATGGGCTAATGTTGCCTTCCTTCAAGATCCTTTCTTCCTGAGATCAGGAAGCGCCAATTTATCCAGCTGCGCCTGCCTGACTTGCCGTGTGTGCATATAGATTTTGTGGTTTCCTTTTAGAACAATTTGTCTGAATCCTTGCTGCAAACAGTAAACATGTCGATGTCAACCGAATCGGTTCATAGTTTACATATTGTCAATCTATTCAGCATGAAGCTTAGGGACGAAAGACTACATACATTTAACATTTAATATAGCTTAGTTGTACATCTAGCTATCGCTTGAGCTTGAGTAAGTCGAGAGTTTATAATATGCCCAATTAATATTATATCGCATCACATTAGAAATCATAGGTTTCCAGTTGCAACATTTAGTTCTGTGTCGCACTCTAAACATGGCTAATGAAAAGTCGAAGAGCTTTTAGCTAGAACTAACAAATAGCGCTAGTTTACGTTTGGCCATATTGCCAGCCACACACACGCACGCACACACACACTCACACACTCACACACACTCGCTAACTTGCCATAAAACCAACATGAAATTTGGTGCATCCACTGAACGACCCTCGCTTGTGGCTGGCCATTCCATAACCAAGCTGAAATATGCGCGAACCAGAGGCGTCCGCAAGGGGGTTGGCATCTAGGCTAAGAGCTAAGAGCTAAGAGCCCGTTCCTAATATAACTAAACCTTAATATCCCGATTGGGAACTTAGCTAAATTAAATATTCATATTGTATTTCTAATAAAAAATAAATTAATTTTATTTAACAGACATTAAGACATTGTGTTCCCTTTTGAATTTATTTACAAGAATGTTGGGTATCCTTTGCCCTGGCAACCAATTTCTAAAAGTCGCCTTTTGCTGAAAATAAATATATAACAAAATATTCCTTGTTCAGGACTCTCATTGTTAAGAGGCTTCTGCTTAAAGTGAATATATTTATATCCTTTGTATATTTTCTCTTCGACATTTTCTCCTCGACATTTTCATTTCTCGTAGCCTTCTGTTTAAAATAAAAATATATTATATTAAAAGTTACCCAATAAAAATATATATATATATATCCTGATTATCCTTTGCTCTGTTCGCCAATTTCTGCAAGTTTCATGCCTTAAAAAAAAGATATATGTGTATCCTAAAAAATAAATATATCCATATCCTAGGTTTCCTTTGTTCTGAACCCCCTAAGCCCATAAATGTATTTTCTTGCTCAAAACAAATATTTATATATAAAAATTTATAATCAATCTTAAGATTTCTATTCACACAAATTGAGTTTTCAATTATGTATTCTAAGTTTAAGCTAATGTAAGTCTTGAATTAATTAATTAATTATAACAAGAAAATGAAACATAAAATGTAAAAGAAATAAGTTAGAAAAAGGTTAATTTAAAAACTAACCCTTCGCGAGTTCCTCTGCAAGCCACTGACACACACACACACACACACACACACACACACACACACACACACACACAGCGACACACACATACATGCGAATGCCCTGGGCCGTCGGCCTCGTGTGCGTGCGCTGCAAATATGTATTTGATGCTCTTTGTGCGGCTTGAACGGCATTTTGTGTTCGGGCGATGCTGTCCGCTAATTAGGCAATATGCACTCGATTCTGTTATAATCATTAAACCCAGCAAATGCATGACTACCACACACACGCACACACACACACACGCACACACGCACACACGCACACGCATACAATTTGCATAGCATAGTTTCAGGCATTGCAAAATATTTTGCTTAAATGGCGACGCTCGCAATTCGAGCAACAATTAAAAACCGCCAATAATTTTGGTAGCTTTGAAATCAGTTGAAGCTGTTGCTCATTTCGGTTTTGGTTTTTGAAAATAAATGTTATTGCTTAAACATGCCAGAACGAGAACTAGCCGACTGTTATATACTCTTCTCGTGGAATATTTTTGCTATTAGACAAATTTAAATGAAAGTCTAGTTAAATTTGACGAAGTTGTTAATGGCGAAGACTTTCAAGATATTTTGTAAATTTTGATATTTGAAAAAGTTTTGTGCAATATTTTAGCACATTTTTCTTAAATTTTCCACAAAGCTTACATCATAGCGAATAATTGGGGCAATAATTTACAAGGTTATTATACCTAATTAAAAACTATCGAACATCCCTAATTATTAAGGTACCGAGATTTTAACACCCTTCAAGGCATTTGCCTTCTGCAGATATGTGAGAATATTGAAGTTCAGTAAAAATATCTTTGAAAACCTTTGCAAAGTTTAAGGAAGATTGTGTTAAGACTGGGAGACTAGTTCGCTTATAAATAGACAGTGAGGCAGACGACTAGCCGAACATGGCTATAACAACTCCGTTGCTGATGCTGATCTAGAATATATACAAATTATGGAGCCGGAGGTGTTTCCTTTTATGCGTTGCACATTTCATAACAAAATTGTAATATCCTCTACAAGGTTAGAAAAAGGAACAAAAACGAATTCTATATGTTTATAACAAATCTTAATTTGTCTCTCAAAACGGAGAATCAGTTAGAACTCGGTAAACAGATTAACAATTTCTGCTCTTCTGGAGCGTATTATAAGATTTTTATATATATTGTCTTTTATGTATCTTTGCAACTTAAGGTTCGATTTTGTCTTCCTCTGCGCTTTTTATATATTTAAAAACAAATTTTGATGGGATTCAAAAACAATTCAAAATTTTGTTACCCATTCTAGATTGCCGTATCCTGTATATATTGTTTTTTGATAAACTTATAGTTCCTGTTCATGCCACGACAGATACGCTAAAGTTATTTAACTTTTGATTTTATTTAATATGTGTCTCAGAGTCTTTCCGGTCCGTCACGTAGGCAACTTAAAGTCAAAACTTTGCAGATGGCTGGCACGGAAAACCTACAGGAAACGGATGTGAGCGAAAGCAAACACGTGTTGGGGAAAATCTTTGCTGCAACAATGTAAACACTCGCCTTCAAATACACACCCCACACACGCACACACACACACACACACACACACATGCACACACACACTCGCACAGACAGCCCTTACCCTCATTGCATATGTAAACCGGCTTGTAAGCTGGCCAATTTTTTATGTATTTATGCATTTCTTCCTCTTATAGCAACATCCCTCTGCTTGCCCATTCTTGACTCGCGTCCGACTTCGTATTAAAATTGTCGGTGGAGAAAATGCAGCAGGGCAACAGCAACATTGCCACGCCCATCATCCCATAGTAGGTTAATCAAATGCAAGGCGAAAAAAATTGCAATACGCGGTTCTGTGCAGCCGGGGGCCGGGGGCTGGGGAGCTGGGGCTTACGGCCGTGCTAGTTAGTGTGCGCGGGTGTCAGAGCTCGTTGGCGTCGCTTTGTGCGTTTGTGTGCGTGTTATATTAAAAAATTTTCCAGCCGAGAGAAGAGGAGACCAACAGCAACAGCAGCAGCTGCTGCTGCTGCTGAGTACAAAAGAAAACTGACAGCTGACGCGGAGACGTGGACAGTGGGACACTGGGACAGGGATGTGGACGTGGACGTGCAGATATGGCGGATAGGACACGGACTTGATTCATTTTACTCGATATCCAACGAGCTGCAGTCACAGCGTGAATTGCACGTCTATTCTGCTCGACTAACTCAAATTAACTATTCAAGTGAATGCTTAAATCGTTCAAAAATATATACAATGAATGTGCATTAGCTGCACACAGATATAGAAAATTAATCAACTAGCTTACGGGTTTAATCTTCTAACTTTCATCTAAATGCGATCTACTTTAAGTCTAGGGAGAAGGATATATATATGACTGAGTGGTCCAATTTATTTTATATATATTTTTTAGATCTTATCTTCTTTATTTGTATTTCCTTGTTTTCCTTTATTTCATCATTTTGCTTCACCTCGCTTTCACTTTTTCTTTTCACAGAGTGCCCAACTTGACTTTTTAACAAAATACTTATTAATAGCTTAAGCTTCGATTGCTTTACAACACTAGCTGTTGTGGCTGTTGCTTTTTGAAAGTTTACATTTATGTACACTCTTTACAGGCCCTTCAAATATCTCAAGATTCTCGGAATAGTCGATAGCTTTACAGAACTTCTGCTCATATACTTTCAATTATTTGCCAACAAGCCATTTCTTGGTCTGCAAGTAGATAAAAGTCGCAGGTATAAAATATGAAGAACATGAGAATTAATATAGCTTAGCAAGTTTCAAATGTTTTACCCCAATCAAATGTTAGTTTTGAGAAACTTTTCTGTTAGTTTACATCGGACTTAACTTTTTTCTAATATTGCAATAATTTAATAAAATGTATAAAAGACAACAATTTGAAGAGCCTCCCGTTCCGAGCAGCTTGTCCCTCGGCTTGTCACTTTAACCTGTAGTTAACCTATGTTTACTTTAACCTGTTGAGAATTATAAGCGTCAGACAATGAAAAAAGGCGAAGCAAGCAAAAGAAAGCCATGCAGGGCAAAACCTGAGCACTTTTTAAATATTATGAAACGTCATCTCCAGTCTAGTTTGGAAACAGATTTATGTATTTAGTTATAAGTGAAGAAATTCGTAAGCTTGAACAATTGTAAAATGTGAAAAAAAAACCAGAAGGGCTTTGGACAGCGACTTCCGTTTGGAGTCAACTGTTTTGGCAATGCCACAGAACAGTTGTGTGCCAACAGTTCATACAAAACAAAATACTTAGTTACCAAACACGAATTTGCCAGACAATTTTTTATGGTATTTGGCTTAATTTGGAACGCTTGTATGCATATTATGAGCGACAGCTAGGTAGCCGACAGCTGGATGCCAGCAACACCTTTGTGAGTTCGCCCAAAATGATGCCAGCAGGTGACATAAAACAAGCCCGTTATGTGACAAGCTGCTGTTGCAGCAGTCGCCGACACGCAAGGCTGGCTGTAAGGAAGGGAAGTGCAAAGGAATGCGGCACAGAAACATCGCGTGAGCAAAGTGAAATATAAACGATGTCTGGAAAAGGTGGGAGAAGTTGTGGCTGAGGGTGAGGATAAGGTGAGATTGGGAGTGAGGGTGCAAGCATTTGTTATTTTGTAGCCGAAATAAGCGAAAGAATGCAGGATTAGCCGCCCAAAATGACAGTTGAAATCATTGGCCGCCATTTTGTTTGGACAAGCCGCGTGCGCCGTTGCCACATTTCATTGTTTGTCATTTAACGATTGACAGTTGGTGATAAAAACGAAAGCGAAACGAAATGAAACAAAACGTAGCGCAAGCCAAAAACAAAGCCCAGCACAAAAGCCAAACAATAAGCACGGCACAAATAAAACAGCAGCAACAACAACAACAACTACAACAACAGTTTAGCAATAACAGCAACAACAACAGCGTAACAATAACAGCAGCAGTAACAGCACCTCCAGCTGCCAGTGTTGACAATCGAAATGTAAATGTTAATGATGCGCCGCCAAAAGGTGTCAACTGCTTAGCCAAAATTGCTTCTTGGCTCAAGATTTTCTTTTTCCTGCCTTCGTTTGTGTGTGTGTGCGCGTTCGTTTATGTCTGTGTGTGTCCGTCTGTGAGTCTTTGTGTCCTTTTGGGCTATTTATCATTATGACATTGTTTGGCTTTCGGGCTGATTTGACTAGGGAGCGCCATCTGGGTCGCTTGGGTCTCCAAGCTGTTAATCAAAGCCAACACAAAGTTGCGAGCGAACATTCAACTTGGGAATATTTGGATCAAATATGAGTGCATCTCTTAACACGCTGAGCATCTTGAGAAAATGCTTCTTGAAGATGCGCAACACTTTCTAATAGGCTGCATTAAAAAGCCTGAACATATTTGTTTAAAGCTTTAATATCTTTTAATTAGATTTGAAATGGAATTTTAAGTCCTTTTAATTATTGAAAATTGATTATTTATTCTAGTCTCAAAAGTACACAAATATGATGTGCATTGGGCTGTTGAAAATAGTTTAGTATATCAATAGAATAAGTTTAGTTGAATTTTGATTCCGTTTCCAATCTGCCTTTTCAATGGCAGAACGCCAAAACAACAAATTAAATGTTTATTCGTTTTCTTTGATGCCTCAGGCCTCTAAGCAGAACAACAAACTAAATATTCAATCAGCCTTTGTTTGTTTCTCCAAGCATAATATTTATAACTAGTTTTATTTATTTCTATATAGTTTTCAAGGTTACAGCATGTTTGTGTCCTTTTATTGGATAACTGCAAATTTCTCCATTTTAGTTAAATTTGTATACCCTGAACGCATTGTAAATGGGTCAAAAGGGTATTATGTATTTGTGCAAATGTATGTAACAGGCAGAAGGAAGCATCTCCGACTCCATAAAGTATATATATTCTTGATCAGCATCAATAGCCGAGTCGATCTAGCCATGTCCGTCTGTCCGTATGTATGAACGCAAGGGTATTTTAGAACCTATAAGGGTTAGAGACTTTCACCTTCAGCTGTGGGTCCTCCTAGTGACTGCGCAGATCGAATTTGTTTCCAAGCAATCGATAAGAATTGATATCGTAAATGTTAAGAGCTGGAGTCACCAAACTCTCAATATTACTTATTTATTGGTGTGGCTGTTGAGCAAGTAATTCGGTCGGTTGCAAGTTCAAGCCCGGTTTAATGTCGACCCTTCAGCAGTGCATATTTGGAAACGGAAAGGTCACCACAATCCGCATCAAAAATGTTTATATATATATGCACTATTTGTGGGCTGACATTAAATTACAAAGAATCTGCCACCAATGCGTAAGCCCTGGCTGATAATCATTTCACATTTACTCAATTACGCCCATAAATGTCAGATCCCGGCCCTGTTTGGGCTAGCCGGCAGTTGGAAAGAGAGAGGCAAATGGAGGTTATGGCCCGAAACACGACAACCGGTTAAGCCAATTTATTAAATAAAAAACCATTTGTCACACATTTTATTCAAGTTTTCAACGCCGGCTTTTTGTGTGCGTGCTATCTTTATGACATTTCCAGCGGCCAATGAAACTGAAACCCCAAAAGCCATAAAGCAAAAAAATATATATATTAAGGGGGAAAAAAAAACAGTGGAAAAGCTGGCCAAAAGAGCACAAAGGGCGATGAGCAAACGAGCTGGACAAAAGGTCAGGCTGACATTTTTCTTCATTAATTTCACCTGGTCAACTGATAAAAAGCCAAACGACGACAGTTTCTGTAGATGATCATAAAAGTAATATGTAATAACCAGATAATAACAGTGACAAGCAACCTTTTTATTTTATATCATTTCGTTTTATTTTTTTTTTTGTGATTTTCTGTTACGTCTAACGACAGATTGTGGTCGTTGTCAGGACTTGAAACAAGTCGAGAGCCTAAAGACAATGCCGCATAGAGAGTCCTTATGGCGCACCGCAATTAGTTGATTGCCGAGGCTCAACTCCATCAAAGATTGTAAGTGCTTTCAATTTCATAGCTGTCCATGCCGCTGTCAGCCCCGCTCCACTCTCCGCCTCTAGCTCATTTTGGCCAACGCTCTCGACGGAAATTAAACTTGTCCAAAAGTTTAAATGCCTTTCTGCCGCTTTCCGTTGTGTTTCGCTTGACTTTTGTTCTCAAGTTGCCATTGCTATGCCACCCTCCCCTCCCCTCCCTCGACACCCGCCCCCTATCCAAGGCTCTCTCTTCCACATAGTAGTAGTTTCAATCTTGGTACATTTATTGTGTGTGCTCACTCGCCGAGCTTTCTAATTTGCTCGCTGCAAGCAATTAAACGAGGCATCCGTTTTGATACTCAGCTGCGGAGCAAGCTACTCCTCCTCCTCCTCCACCAGCCTCTGGGGCACTTCCCTATGCATGCGGTTGATCCATTTGCTAGCTGCTTATGCAACAAATGAAGCATGTCAAGTTACTCATACGCCTCGTTATGCCGCTTCAAAAAACAGCAAATTGCGCTTACCTGGCTCAAGTTTATCATGTGAAGAGCCTCGACTATAACCTTGTTTTAATTCATATGCCTCTCTAGTAGCTCTAGCTATATGAATGGGCTTGTGTAATTAAAAAGCGGCTAGGATTTCCTACTCGCCGGCATTCAACATTAATTTAAACTGTTTCTCCTTGCCATTTAAAGAGCCTACTTAAATTTAAATGTGTTCAAATAAACCTATATATGCTTTATGCATTCGGTTAAGCCAAACACAAAGCTTAAGGTTCAAACTCCCGAGAATACGTATTTTACTTGTTTGCAATCGCAACTTAGTTTATTATAGCTTGAGAGTTTTATCTTTGATGAGATATCAATCGTTTCCAATTTAACTTTAACTGATATAGTTATATATTCTTTTCAATAAATAAAATGTTTTATTAATTTCATAATTTTAAATATTATTATTTCGTCAATTGTATGCCTTAAACCTTTATTAAAACTAACATATTTGCAATAGGAATCAAGTTTTCTTAAAATGCAATAAGTGAAACTTCAAAGTGTTCTATTGTATTTTAAGATAATTTGTAACTTATAGATTTATATCTCTAATCATATATTTTATTTCGTTTTTCAGTTTAATTGTTGCTCTGTTGTTTTTAATCAAATGTAAGTTTTCTATTTAATTTAAATTTCAGCCGGAAAACGCCGGGTTATTGCCGGTAAATATACTCTCCTTATGGGTTAAGTGTGGCTTGAATAAGTGCCTTACTTTGCCTTAAACGAACTTGAAACGGTTTGTAAGTAGTTCAGCTAAAATCGAGTTTCAACTATTTCTAAAGGAATATTAAATGGATTCAGTGGCTGTCTTTCCCCCCTCTCCCACCCACTCTCTCGCACTCTGTTTCAATGATAACCGCTGCTCATGCAACCATAATTAAGCCACAAAGTTGCCAACTATTAATACCGGCTATATATTCGCTGTTAGCACATTATTTATAAGCACTCATGGACGCCGGCGCAGTGGGGGCTATTTTTATGCAAATGCATAAATAATGAAATGATATTTAATAATGCCATGATGAAAACTAACAGAAGTGCACAAAGCAGTTAAATAAATAATGCAACAAAAATGTGTTATAATAGCAATAATGAATACGCGTAGAGCAAAAAAAAAAAATGAATTAAAACATGCCATGCATTTTGATATCATTTTTTAATATATTGTCTTGTTCTTTCATTTGCAGCGGAGCACATTGTGGACTCGAAAGGGAATGTACGCTGCGCAGCGCCTGCAGCTATGCAATGGAAAAATGTATTTTGCCACTCAGCCAAGGGCTGAACAAATTGTTGCGCGTAAATATTTAACAGTCGCAATGAATTGCATTTGCTGCAATTGAAAGTAAGAGCGAGCAGCTAAAGAACACATTTTCGCACAGATAAAGAAATATGCGAGTCGAGCAAACAAACTATGCAACGCGCAAACATTGACAAAACCCAGCCAAACAAAATAGCATAAAAAATACAAAAAAAGCGACAGAAGAAGAGAAAAACAGCAGCAAAAAAAAAAAGAAAAAAAAAGAAACGCATAAACAAATAAAAATGAAAATTAAAATATTTCCGCTGACAGCGGATGTAACGTTGGCGCAGCGCCGGCGCCGCGTAATGAAACTGCAGCGGAAACATAAAATGCCGGAAATATGCTCATGGCTAATTGTTGCCGCTGCCGCCGCCTCGGCCACTTGGCTGACCTTCTCCCGGTCCCTGGCCGCCGCCCAGGATGACGACGACAGCGAAATGCATCAGCATCACATGGATCTGTTGCACCATCAGCAACAGCACTCGGATTTCATTATTGGCGAATCCGAGGAACGGGATCACATAGCGCATCATTTGGGTAAGTCGAAAATGGATGATATAAAACTACAAAAATAAACCAATTTTATAAGTTAAATTAACACAGAAAGTCTACGTTTAATTCAATATATACTACTTCAAGAGTTTCGATTGAAAACAAATCAATTTGAATACAATTCTATAATATTATCTTGACAAAATTATAAATAATATAAAAAATAAATATAACAAACATTTAATTTATTGCAAAAAAAAAATTATAAAAATATTTAACATTAAGTAAGAAATAAATTGAGAAACAAAAGATAATATATTATAAAAAAATTACAAACATTTTTATTAGATATAATAAAAGAAACTTCAAAATAGTTTCGTTTTAAAAAATTAAACGTAAAATTGATAACGAACGAAAATATATCATACAAAATAAAACTCATTCAAAAGAAAATTCTTTTTAACATACAATAAGAGATACTTGAAAAGTGTGTCGATTGCAAGCAAAGCTAAGTCAAGTAGAACTTTGTGGATAATCTGGCTTAGTACCTTACCGAGTTTCTCATAGTGCTCAGTGGAAATTCCTAAAGCCGTAGCGCAATAATACGATCTACTCGTGCAAGTCCTTTGACAAATTTAAGCGTCTGAAAGCACGAGTATCTTATATTTCACAGATAAATTCCAGCCACGTCACGTTGGTTCGATTTTTGCCGCCTTACTCTGGCTGACACTAAGTCGGACACAGGGCGCTGGGCGCTGGGCGTTGGGCGGAGTTATCACGCTCTATTTGCGTTTGCTTTTGCTTAGCACAAGGTCAACTTGGCGCGGCTGCCAAGTGCCAAACAAACTTTTCAGTTGCCTCTCCGCCCGGCGCGGCCAGCTGTGTGTCACTTGAGCGGAATTATGTGACTGACGGCCGGTGAATGGGTTGTTGTGGGGGTTAAGGGGGTGTGGATGGCCAGTTTGGCTCATTGCACACTGTTGGAGGACAGTTTGGAGCACGTGCTTGGCCGGGTTTAGTGGCTCTTTAAATTGGCCCCAGAATAATTAAAGCGCCCACATGGCGTATGCGTATTCGCATTCGCATTCGAATTGTGGCTGTCGTGGCCGTGCATACACTGTTACGTCTGTGTCTGTGCCCAAATGTACTCACACACACACACATACATACAACACAGCCGCATGCCAGCCGAGGCAAGCCCAGAGCCATGTTTGTGGCCACTTAAGTTTTCTTTGTCCATGACTTGTGGACTGCTGCTGCTGCCGCTGCCGCTGCTCCTGTGGGTGCTCAACAAGTGGACAACAGTTGACATTGTTGTACAATGTTGAACCGCTCAAAATCCGTGTATTTGTATCTGTGTGCGTGTGAATGTCTGCGTTTGTGTGTGTGTCTGTGTGTGCTTAACATGAAAGCATCTACTTAGGATACTGGCGTGTGAGACACACAAAGTGATTGACACTCTGATTGATGGCGCTTTGGGTCGTTGGCCAGTTTTGGGTTTATGACTTGACATGTTGACCAAGTTTTTACATTGTGAATGCACTGAATTTAAAGCAAATGTTCAGAGAAAACGGCTGGCCACAAGATCTGTGAGACATGTACGATGTAATATGAATAGTTGAATAATGTGGTCTGTGTTTAACGTTTCCCATGAGAATAAAGAGACAACTTTTATATTATATATTAGCACAAAATAGCAAAAATAACTCAATTGTTGTTATTAGCACATATTAATGTTAATTTTATGATTATTATGAATTTTATTATTATTATCATTATTATTATTATTCCCATTATTATTCTTATTATTATTATTATACTAATTTATATTCTTGGCTAAAGTTAAAAAATGTAACTTTTTTTTGTTTATTTTACAAAGAGGATAATATTTAATTAATATTATCTTATTTATTTATATTATATTCGAAATATTAGTATAAATATTAACCAATTATTAAAATTTAAAAATGTAAAAAGTAAAAATGCTTTTTGAGGATAATTTTAAGAACTGCAAATATAGAGATTATCTGAATGTCTATTGCCTATTTTGTCCCTAAAACTTGAGCTTTTTTCAGCAATTTAATCATATAATCGTTTTAAGGCCAACATTGCCAGCTCGTGTAACCAAAAGTTTTTTAGCGGATTAATCAAAGTGCAGAAATAATTAAATAGCTACAACTCAGAAATCTATTTAATGCGCCATATATTTATTAATGTATAAACTAAAAAAGTTTACCATTCAGCTATCAAAAACTTTTCGCCTCAGTCAGGCATGCCAGATAGTCTGCCAGTTTGCTTTTTTTAATGGCATTTTAATCACGTAGTCAAAACTTTAGCGCTATATCAATTTTTACTCTACCCCCCTCCGCTCATTCAGGCAGATCTTTTGGCATTTCTTAACGCACGTTTCGTGTGTTGGCGCTGACTTTGTCAGTTTAAATTTCTTGCTATGATTTCATTTGGCTGTTTCTCATGTGCATTTCGTAATGTTTGCTGTGCTTTTTATTTTTTGTTGAGCTTGCCACGCCCACTTTGCAGTGTGCAGGCAGCCATGCCCGGCAGGCCTCATTCCCCTTTGCTGCAATTGTTTGACAATTTTTCAACAATTTCCCAACTGACTGCAAAATTGACGCTCTGCCTCTTGCAGCCCTCCCATTGCCATTTACGTCATTCTTTCACAGTGTTTGTGAGTGCACGTATGTGTGCGTGTGTGTGTTTGTGCATCTTTCACACGATTTTGCGTTGCTGCTGAAAGTATGCAACACTTTTTTGCGCTCTACATTGTTTAGCCCGTCGTTCGGCCGACGGGGCGGATGAGCTACGAGCAGAATAACAGGAGCAGCTGCAGCAGCAACAAATGAGAAGAAGAAGTAGAAGAAGGCAACGACAATCACGGCTGTTGTTGGCCTTTGAGGCGTTCTGTTGCTGCTTTATATCTGTGTGTGTGTGTGTGTGTGTGCGTGTGTGTGTGCGCTCTTGTTGTTGCTCTTTTTTAGCTTTTGTTGCTGTAATTTGTATTTTATTTTGTATCCTCCGGTTTTGTTTTCGCTTTTGTACACTTGAAAAGCATGCTTAAAGTTGGAACACAAACGTTGAAGTAGAAATATGTACACTATTTTCAGTAGATCAGAGAGATGAGCAGATGTTGAAAAAACTTCATCTTCTATGTCTATATCTATATCAGTTTACAAGCCTTACTGGCTGTTTCTCTCTTTCTCTCACTCTCTCTCTCTTTCTCTGTGTGCGTCTACGTATATATAGTTTCTCAGCTGGGAAACATAACTGTCTATACATTATATAAATAATAAGAAAAATTGGCTTATATATAATATATTTTATTAAAGTGCAAGACTCTTTCACTCTTGGTTTTGTCCCTGCTCGCATTGCCATTTACACTGCTTCACACTTGTAATTCCCAACAAGTTGAAGCTTTCAAGAGGTGCTAAGCTGTTTGCCATGCTGGAGTGGATAGCTGATTCCGCGGGCGTAGGTTAAGTTAGATTTCTGCTATGTTTATATATTTATAAAAAAAAAAATCTAGAATAAAACATTGATATGAGTATATTATTTTTATCTATCCAATCTAAATCTTAATTGAAATAAAAAATAGGAATTAAATGTGCATATAAGATAAAATTTGGATTTTATATTTGAGCTGCAGTTCAGCAGAGAAAAATTAATTTTTTATAAAATTGTAGAGGATATTATACGCATAGAAGGAGATATTATATTATATAAAGCTTAGCATTTATGCGCTTTAATTGTCTCACATATCTGCAAGGGCATTAAATCTTCGGCGTGCCTTGCTTTCTCGTTTCTTATATTTTTGCCTGTTGTTGTATTTTGTTGCGCTTTTCGGCTATTGCCTCTTGGCAAATGTTTGTTTTTAACAACATTTCACGTTAGCTTCGTTTGTTTGTGTTTCGTTTGAAGTCGCCTTTCTCAAAATTTAATTTAACAGCATGGCACTTTGCAATTGACCTGAGTCCAGGGCCGCAGGCAGCTGCTTCAAAAATGTTGTCGGAAGAAAACCTAAAAATTCGCATTGGCAAATATCAAAAATGTGACGCAACGCAACGGAACTCAATTAGCAAAAGTTGCTTTCCAAGGCAGCTGCAGTTGGGCTCGCAGTTAAATGCAATATGATAAAGTTGTCCAAATGCTTCGCTAGCTCTGACACATGACACCGCCGCAATGGGAATGCTAAATGCACGAGAACTACGCACAGAATTTTAACACTAAATTTGGCTTACTTCCACTCTCTCTCTCCCTCTCTCTGTTTCCCTCCCTCTCTAATTTGAAAGTTACATTTACGGCCAGGCTAAATGCATAAAAGTTGACTGGCCAATAACTGGCAACTTTGGTTTGCCACTCGGGAGACCTGCACAACAAAGTCAACAAGGAGACTCTCCGAGAGGCACACGCATCAGTAGCTTCTCTTTTCCCACACCGCATGCCCCGCACAATCTGAGCTCACGTACGCAACTTCAAGTTTTATAATCATCTGCCAAGTTTGCTGACCAAGTTGCCTTTCTCCCTCTCTCTCTCTGCCTCTCTCCGAAAGTTGGTCAAAATGCAAGTCCAGGTACACAGCAGTAAGTGCTGCAATGTACTTAAAAGTAAAAATATTGCTTGCAGTCAGATTAAGCGAATGAGAGTCCGCATCAAAGAACTTGCTAGCTCAAAGCTAAAATCAATTATCAATCGCATTATTCCAAAACTATTGCAAAACTTGCTCGTTACGAAAATTAAATTGGTTATTTTCATCGTTGTAAAGTTGCATATAAAAGAAGGGACACTGCAATTAATATGTACAATTATTTATGGATTTACTCTCGTTACCAAGACAACTAATAACATTTTCTACATGAGCTTGAATTTTCTATTTTCGTATTGTTTAAACAATTTATTATACACTTAAAATTAAGGCTTCGAACGCCTGAAAAGACGGAAGACAGACGGCAGTAATCTATCTACTTGTTAACAAGTTTAATCAGCCAGCTAACATACGTATATGCGAGAGATTCAAGATTTTTCGGCTCTTT